TCACTGCTCCCTTATCCTCATCTTCCTCTCGCGCCATATTGTATCAGAGTAGGACTTCATGTTCAAACCTGCTGCGCCCACCAGTTGGTATCAGAGCAGGAAATCAAGTTGTAGCCTCTGTGGCGCGAAGGCATGCATTTGACGCCTCAACACCTCCCTGTGCCGCCTCTCTGTCCCCCCCTCCCCACCTCCCCCACCCCTCCTGCTGCTCCCTGTTCTTCATCTGCCCCTGCTGCACCCACCAGTTGGTATCAGAGCAGGACATCAAGTCGGAGCCGCTGTGGTGCCAAAGCATGTGCTTGACGCCTTAACTCCCTCTTTGCCCCTTCCGCCCTCTCTGTACTCTTCCTCTTCATCTGCCCCTGCTGCACCCACCAGTGGTATCAGAGCAGGACATCAAGTCGGAGCCGCTGTGGCACGAGGACACGTGGGGGCGACGACGACCGCAGATACAGGAGAGGTACGTGTGCCATGGCGGGTGTGTGTTGTTGGTGTCCTTGCATCGCCGCAACCCGTTAGATGACTCACGAGTCGACTCAAAAGTAACCGCGCTGTGGCACGAGGACACGCGGGGGCGACGACGACCGCAGATACAGGAGAGGTGCGTGTGCCATGATGGGCGTTGTACCGTGATGGCGTGTGCCATGATGGGCGTGTGCCATGATGGCGTGTACCATGATGGGCGTGTGCCATGATGGGCGTGTGCCATGATGGACGTGTGCCATGATGGCGTGTGCCATGATGGGCGTGTGCCATGATGGGCGTGTACCATGATGGGCGTGTGCCATGATGGGCGTGCCATGATGGCGTGTACCATGATGGGCGTGTGCCATGATGGGCGTGTACCATGATGGGCGTGTACCATGATGGGGGGCGTGTGCCATGATGGGCGTGTACCATGATGGGCGTGTACCATGATGGGCATGTACCATGATGGGCGTGTGCCATGATGGGCGTTGTACCATGATGGGCGTGTGCCATGATGGGCATGTACCATGATGGGCTGTACCATGATGGGCATGTGTGTACCATGATGGGCATGTGCCATGACCATTGCAGTTGTCGCCGTATCCTTCACCACCCTCTCCACCACAGCCGCTCCCCCTCCTCCATCCACTCTCTCTTCCGCTTCCCCTCCCCGCAGGCGGTCAGTGCAGAATGCCATAGGACGGCCCCCCTGTGTGGTCCTGTACCCCACCCTCTCCTCCTCATCTTCCTCACCCTTCAAATCCCTCCCTTTCCCTGCCCTCCCTCACTTGCAACCCCCTGCCCTCCTTGCCTGCCCCCTCCTCCCCCCCCACCCCATCCCTGTCCCTGCCCCCCCCCCCCTTTTTCGTTTCCTCAGGAAACCAGTGCAGAACGCAATAGGAGGGCCCGTCTTGGGGGCGGCAGCCACTCGTCTGCTTCTCAACTCTCTTGGCGCCGCCGGGCGGCAGGGAGGGGCGGCAGCCGCCCAGCTGCGGGAAGCGCAGCAGCGGCTGAGTCACATGGGCACTGCCGGCCCCGTGCCCCTGCCTGTTCCTCTAGCGGGCGGCATTCTCCCCGTACAGTCACCCTACAGCCAGTCTGCCCCTTATAGTCACGCTCATGCGGGGGGGATATAGTCACGGGCAAACGGGGGGGTACGGCGCGGTGCAATCGGCAGACCCTAGGGTTGCTGCTTATGGAGGGAAGGCAGGGGCGTATGGGCAACAACAGCAGCAGCAGCAGCAGTATGGGTATCGGGGGGGGCAGGCTGTATACCAGGTGCAGCAGCCGGCACAGGAGGGGTATTATCAGCAGCAGCAGCAGCAGCAAGGGGGTTATGGTGGGAATGTGTGGGTGAGGCCTGGTAGTGGGGCAGGCACACAAGTTGCAGCACAAGCAGCAGGGGGGTATGGTGGACGAGGGGGGTATGGGCAAGCAGGGGGGTACGGGAGAGGGGGGTATGGGGCAGGGCAACAGGGGTATGGGGGGGGTCAACAGCAGCAGGGGTACGGGGGGCAGCAGGGACGGGGGGTATGGGCAGCAAGGGGGAGGGTATGGACAGGGCAGGGGAGGGCAATACGGCCAAAGTAGGCGCTGATGCTGATGTGGGTGATGATGCTGACGGTGTTGCTGGGGCGAGATAAATTGGGGAAAGGCAGGCTCTCCAGAAAATGCGGCGGTTCCTATGAAAATTTGTACATGTTATTCACTGGCAAGTGGAATACATCTTATCTCGCCTGATTATTCAGGGTGAAGGCAAGTGTGCTGTCTTTTGTCAGGCTTCAATTTGTTAGAAAAGAGTTAATTGTAACCTTTTGTCATCTAAATACCTGCTAACAAAGTGCATATTTAGCATGCACACCTCGGTCTAGGTCGAACAAGCTCATTGTAATCTCATTTAAGTTCAGAAGTTGTGTGAAATGGAACGCTTGTCGTAGTGTTTCCTTCAGTCGTAATGGACGATGTTGGAGCATTCAATTGGCAAACACTTGCTGTCACGAGCAGGATGTACGATATTCGCCCGAGGGTTGGCGATGACGAGGCGATTATTGGCCCCCCTTGCGAATCCACACTTTGCAAAAACGAATTTGGGTGATACTATGTAATATTCGTTAATGCCATGTGGCGAAGTTTAAATCCATTCTCAAGGTTGGAACCATAGAGCCCATAAATCCTCGCCTATGGCCTCGCAGAGCACTCATTTTCGTCGCAGCATGGCAAAGGACGACGGTTTACACCCACTCTTACCTGCGAGACTGCCCCGAACGTCACGATCCACTTCGTAGAGGCCGGCCCGCCAACCGGCCAACTGGTTTGTCAACTTGCTCTGCTTCTTCCCTTCCATCCTCCCCCGCACCTCCACATCACCCTCCACCCATGGCTATTCTTGACCTTTGTGATGTTGATTTCCGGACTTCAAGTGCTCCAAACCAAACGCTCCGTTTTCCTCCGCTCATTGTCGCAATGCGTGCGTGCTCTCGTGCAGGTAGTGCTGCTCCACGGCTTTCCCGAGTTTTGGAACACGTGGCACAAGCAGATTGGTCCGCTAGCCGAAGCAGGCTTTCGCGTCGTCGTTCCAGACCTACGAGGGTTCGGCGACTCTTCGCGGCCGGCTGGAATCGCGTCGTACAGTCGCCAGCATGTCTGCGCTGATGTGGCGTCGCTCATCTCGCACTGCCTTTCCCGTGCGACGGATGCTGCGACGATCACTGGCGATGTCGCCGATGCGAATCCCAGCAGCAGGAACAGCAGCAGTAGCGCTGTCGCAGATGATTGTCGCACGTCGCCAGTAACAACGCTGGGCGAAACTGGTCTGCGACAACGAACCAGCGACCGCGGCGACGACAGAAGGAAAGCTGACTTGGTGAGTATAGCCGTCGATGGATGGTGAATTGGCGATGTGTTAATGGCGATGTGCACACAAGGAGCGAATCTGATGTATTCCATAGTCTGTCAATTAGCTCTCTTCCTTCCTCCCGTCCCATCTCCTCCCTTCCCCTCCCCTCCCGCTTGCCATCCCATCCCGCTTTTCCGTTTCCTGTCATCCTCCGTTGCCTCTCCCCCTACCCTCCATTCGGCCATGGGTGGGGAGCATTTACTTTTGAGACGTCTCAAAAATGGGTGGGGAGCATTTACAGCGTGGGCCATGGCCATGGCCATGGCCATGGCCATGGACCATGCGCACCTCACCTCATCCGCCATGTCAATCCCACTGCTCTCATCCCCCCATTCCTCACCCCTCCAATCTCCCACCAGATCGGGCATGGGTGGGGAGCATTTACAGCGTGGGCCATGGCCATGGACCACGCGCACCTTGTTCGCCATGTGGCAGTGCTCTGTGGGCCGCATCCCTCGGTCTTCCGCCGCTGCCTCTCCCTCTGGGAGCCCCTCACGCTGCTGCGGTACTTCTATTGGTGTGAGTGCTGTGCTGCTGCTCTGCTTTGTTGTTGAAGTCAGTACCTTGTTCTGCTCCGCTCTGCTCTGCTCTGCTCTGCTGTGCTCTGCTTTGCTCTGCTCTGCTCTGCTCTGCTCTGCTCTGCTCTGCTCTGCTCTGCTCTGCTCTGCTCTGCTCTGCTCTGCTCGGCTCTGCTCTGCTCTGCTCTGCTCTGCTCTGCTCGGCTCGGCTCTGCTCTGCTCTGCTCGGCTCGGCTCTGCTCTGCTCGGCTCTGCTCGGCTCTGCTCTGCTCTGCTCTGCTCTGCTCGGCTCTGCTCTGCTCTGCTCTGCTCTGCTCTGCTCTGCTCTGCTCTGCTCTGCTCTGCTCTGCTCTGCTCTGCTCTGCTCTGCTCTGCTCTGCTCTGCTCTGCTCTGCTCTGCTCTGCTCTGCTCTGCTCTGCTCTGCTCTGCTCTGCTCTGCTCTGCTCTGCTCTGCTCTGCTCTGCTCTGCTCTGCTCTGCTCTGCTCTGCTCTGCTCTGCTCTGCTCTGCTCTGCTCTGCTCTGCTCGGCTCGGCTCGGCTCGGCTCGGCTCGGCTCGGCTCGGCTCGGCTCGGCTCGGCTCGGCTCGGCTCGGCTCGGCTCGGCTCGGCTCGGCTCGGCTCGGCTCGGCTCGGCTCGGCTCGGCTCGGCTCGGCTCGGCTCGGCTCGGCTCGGCTCGGCTCGGCTCGGCTCGGCTCGGCTCGGCTCGGCTCGGCTCGGCTCTGCTCTGCTCTGCTCTGCTCTGCTCTGCTCTGCTCTGCTCTGCTCTGCTCTGCTCTGCTCTGCTCTGCTCTGCTCTGCTCTGCTCTGCTCTGCTCTGCTCTGCTCTGCTCTGCTCTGCTCTGCTCTGCTCTGCTCTGCTCTGCTCCGCTCTGCCTGTCACACCGGGAGCCCCGCACACTGCTATGGTGCTTTTACTTGATTGCCATGCCATGCCGTGCCCTGCCGTGCAATGCCTTTCCATGCCATGCCAGAGCAATGGTTGTTCTTATGAAATGTACACTGATGCCCCGCGCATCCGCTCCTGTCTGCTGCTAACTGCTTCTTGATTCCACCCAATCCCCTCTCGCATCCATCCTCGCGCCACACCTCGTGCCCTCATGCCCTCTGTCCCTGCAGTCCTCTTCCTCGTGCCGTGGCTTCCCGAATGGCTTCTGCGCCGCAACAAGTGAGCCACACACACGCTGAGCCGCACACATAAAAACACATGCTGACCCACACGTGCTGACCCACACATGCCGAGCCGCACACATAAAAACACATGCTGACCCACACATGCTGACCCACACATGCTGACCCACACATGCTGACCCACACATGCTGACCCACTCATGCTGACCCACACATGCCGCACCGTGCAGTCAGTGCCACGGCATGTATTTTTATGGCGCCGCAAAAATCGTCTCACTACCCGCAATCTTTCAGGCGCGTCAATATCTTATCCTTCTCCCACATGCCGCAGCAAAATTCCAAGCGTCTGCCATGTTCCGTTACCTATCTATCCGGCCCCCAACCCCCCATGCTCCCTCCCATGCCCCCATGTCCTCTCACTCCCTCCTTATTCATCTCTCCCACCTCTCTCCAACTATCTCCAAGTCTCTCCCAACTATCTCCACCTCATCCCACCTCTCTCCACTTCTCTCTTCTTCTCCCGTCAGCTGTGCGGCTTTGCAGCGAGTGTATAGCAACGAGCCCCTGCACCCACTGCCACCAGCCGCTGTCCATTTATCGTCCATTTCCCCCATGCCTTTTCAGTCCTTGCCATCTCCACCTCTCTCCTCTTCCTCCCCCCAGCTGTGCGGCCCTGCAGCGAGTGTATCGCAACGAGCCCCTGCACCCACTGCCTCCTGCCTTGGTGCAGAGGTGCGATGATGGGTGGGAGGGGGTGGAATGCGGTGTGAGGAAGAATCAGGGGTGCCCTTGTGGCGAGGTGCAGTGCAGAGAGGAGGGCAGGCAGGGGAGAGACACAGCGAGAGAGATGGGATGAGGGAGAGGGGTTGGAGGAATAACAGAAATGGGTAAGTGAGGCAGGAATAGCAGAATCTGCTTGAATCCGCTTTTCAGAATGGCTTGTTTGGTTGCAGAGTAGAAAAAAGGTTCCGAAATCCTTCAGTTATCCCAGCCGCTCTGCAGTTCTAACGCTTATCATCCAACTCTCAAACCAGGAATTCCATGTTCGTTAGGCGGCCTGGCAAAGCCACCACTTGTCATGCCAGCCACTGCTATGCGAGCATGGCCGCACCTCACCTCACCACATGCACGCATTTGAGTCGACTCAAAAGCAGTCCTCTATCCTGCTCCACATGCTATGTCTGCATGGGCCTCTCACATGCCGGTTCCCATGTGCCTGTATACCTTCCCTCCCCCCCCCCCCCACCCTCCCCCCCCCCCCCCCCACCCTACTCCCCGGGTCCCCTCTCTCCCCGCCTGTCTTTTCCCAACTGCTCTGTCTGCCTCAGCCACGTGGAGGCATTCTCCACCAGTGGCGCGCTGACAGCTGGCATCTCGTACCACAGGGCGTTCCTTAGGGGGCTGTGGCGGTTCGGCCGCCCAGTACCCGTGCCGCACAGGGTGCTCGTGCTGTGGGCAGGAAAGGACAAATACGCCCGCCCACACATGGCGGAGCCGCCGCCCGCCCTTGTGCCCAACACTCAAGTGGTTCATTTTCCCGACGTGAGCTGCTCGCACTTCCTCAGCTGCTCACACTTCCTCAGCTGCTCACACTTCCTCAGCTGCTCACACTTCCTCAGCTGCTCACACTTCCTCAGCTGCTCGCACTTCCTCAGCTGCTCGCACTTCCTCAGCTGCTCACACTTCCTCAGCTGCTCGCACTTCCTCAGCTGCTCGCACTTCCTCAGCTGCTCGCACTTCCTCAGCTGCTCGCACTTCCTCAGCTGCTCGCACTTCCTCAGCTGCTCACACCGCTTTTCCTGAGCTCCTCTCACGGCACTTCCCGAGCTTCACTCACCACTGACATTCCATTAGTACCTTCGACGGCACGCTGCCCTCATTGCACTTTGTGACCTGTTCTCACCTCTCTTTGTGACCTGTTCTCACCTCTCTTTGTGACCTGTTCTCACTGCACTTGCTGAAATGCTCTGCACTCTTCTTTCTGAGGTGAACTCACCACCACCAGTCTTTTTTCTACCGTATTGAATACGCTGTTCATCCTGAGGTGCTCACACCACCACTACCACCATGGCATGCATGCATGCATGCATGCACCACCGCTCCCTTTTCATGCACACATTGCTTTTGAGAATTCTCAAAAGCGGCTCCCTTTTCATGCACACATTGCCCCTCCTCGTCACCCTCTCCCTGATTGTTGCGACCATCTGTGCACCATGACTTGCTGACCACGAATCAGTATGTCGGCATGTCATGTCTCTCTTCTGGCCTGACGTGCTGATTCACTCTGCCTACCTGCCTTCTGCTCCCGCATTCCCCGAATCGCTTGTCGTAATTTTTTTCAGCTTGTTTGCCAACGAGTTTTCTTCCCTGCTTGTGTGCTGTGCAGCTCACGTATTGGATGATGTGGGATGATCCAAACCAAGTGAATCACCACTTGATTTCGTTCTTGTCATCGAATGATGATGGGAAAACACCTTTGTGATAGATATGGGTTCTACTATGATGAAGTATTGTTTTGTTCTCTTGTTGTGTATGTGGTTCAAATTCAAGGTTTAAAACCTGCTTTAGTTGTTGCCATTTCGCACATCTAAATAAAAATGGGTATTATATTGAATTGCCTCCTGGAGATGCCCTGCGGTGCGGCCCTTGTAACGAGTAGTCAGCTGTTCCACACCATCAACTGGAAGGACGAGCAGTTGAGTCAAAAACCGCATGTCGAGCCCGTAGGATAGAGCTGTTTGCCTGCGCACCGATTAGAAGTCACCGTTCGCGCCACCTTGTTGCGCCTGGACCATATACCTGACAACCCACCTGACAATCCACCTGGCGATTCAACTGACGACCCACCTGGCAGCATCGTTGACAGCATCGTAGTGGCGCAGCGGAGATGCGCGTGAAGCGGCAGCGGGAGGTGCGGCGCCATGTGCGCTTCTACCGCACGAGCTGCGGCTTCCGCGAGCCGTTCAAGGCCGTCGCGGACGGCACGTTTCTGCACCACGTCATGCGCCTCCGCCTATCGCCGCTCGCCACGTCACTTCCTAAGCTCCTCGGCTTCCCAACACGAGTTTACATCACACGGTGCGTGTCCACGTGTCCCTTATCAGTTTTTCCCTGCTGGTACTGAGCCGCACACCATCCTGCGGCTTCCTGGTTTGTTTCCACGTCATCCATTGCGTGTCCACGTCACACTGCCCGTACTGCTGTACAGCTGTCTGTTGGTATCAAACGCCAGTAACACACATGTGAAAAAGGAGTGTTTTGAGACGTCTCAAAACAGCGCCAGTAACACACATGTCCGCGGCAGTTTTTGTTCGGAGCTGCATATCCTGGGGGGCGCCAAGGCCTTCTCTCCTCTCCATGCCAAGATGTTCCGCCTGCCCCCCTCTCTCTCATCCCCCCGCCCCTCCCCCCTTTCCCCCTCTCCCCCCCCCCCCCCTTTCCTTTCCCGCAGGTGCATTCTGGTGGAGCTGCATATCCTGGGGGGCGCCTTCAAAGCCTTCTCTCCTCTCCGTGCCTCTTCCCTTCTCGCCCCTCTCCCTGCTTATTAGATCCCCCCTCCCCTTATCCTCTCCTTCCCGCAGGTGCATTCTGGCGGAGTTTCATATCCGTGCGGGGGGGGGGGGGGGGACGGCATCAAGGCCTTCTCTCCTCTCCATGTCGCTCCCCCTCTCTCCTCTCCATGTCGCTCCCCCTCTGTCCTCTCCATGTCGCTCTCCCTCTCTCCTCTCCATGTCGCTCTCCCTCTCTCCTCTCCATGTCGCTCTCCCTCTCTCCTCTCCATGTCGCTCTCCCTCTCTCTCCTCTCTTCACCCTCTGATCCTTCCCCCCCTCTCCCCCCCCTCTCCCCCCCCTCTCCCCCCCTCTCCCCCCCCTCTCCCCCCACCCGCAGGTGCATACTAGCACAGCTGCAGCGCCTGGGGGACGCCGTTGAGGGCTTCTCACCTCCCACTCTCACCTCCCACTCTCGCCTCCCACTCTCGCCTCCCTTCCTGCTTATTCCCTCACTGCCCCCTCACTGCCCCCTCACTGCCCCCCCCCTTCACTTCCACACCGCAGGTGCATTCTGGCAGAGCTGCAGCGCCTGGGGGACGCCTTCAAGGACACACGCTTTGCTGCCCGCCAGCTGGAGGTCGCCAGGTATGCCACGTGGCATCCATAAGTGGTTGACCAATCAGTGAGTGCATCTAGTGGTATTAGGTCAGGTTGTAACAGGGCAGGTGGTAACAGGGCAGGTGGTAACAGGGCAGGTGGTAACCGTCAGGTGGTAACCGGTCAGGTGGTAACCGTCAGGTGGTAACCGTCAGGTGGTAACCGGTCAGGTGGTAACCGTCAGGTGGTAACCGGTCAGGTGGTAACCGTCAGGTGGTAACCGGTCAGGTGGTAACCGGTCAGGTGGTAACCGGTCAGGTGGTAATCAGCAGCACTTCCCTCTTGTGTTCTTCTGCCTGCCATCCGCGCCAATCAAAACAGTTGCACTAATGAGGCAAACAACACAGTGAGTGACCAACATCTGGTTACCACGTGGTAACCAGTAACACCCCCTTCTGCTCCTCTTCTCCTGCTATTCTCCCTTATTGAACCAGGTGCATGCAGGCGACCAGTCAGTTACCGGCAGCTGGTTACAGGTGGTAACCAGCACATTTTTCCGCTCGTCACCCCCTGCCATTCGCCCTGGCCACACCAGGTGCACGCATGAGGGCGACGGGGCAGTGACAGCATTTAGTGCATCCAACTCCTCATGGCGGTTGTTGAGAATTCTAAAAAACCAGCTCGTGGCAGCACCAGGTGGTAACCAGCTCGTGGCAGCACCAGGTGGTAACCAGCTCGTGGCAGCACCAGGTGGTAACCAGCTCGTGGCAGCACCAGGTGGTAACCAGCTCGTGGCAGCACCAGGTGGTAACCAGCTCGTGGCAGCACCAGGTGGTAACCAGCTCGTGGCAGCACCAGGTGGTAACCAGCTCGTGGCAGCACCAGGTGGTAACCAGCTCGTGGCAGCACCAGGTGGTAACCAGCTCGTGGCAGCACCAGGTGGTAACCAGCTCGTGGCAGCACCAGGTGGTAACCAGCTCGTGGCAGCACCAGGTGGTAACCAGCTCGTGGCAGCACCAGGTGGTAACCAGCTCGTGGCAGCACCAGGTGGTAACCACCACCACTTTCTTCCGCTCACTCCTCTCCCCCTACCACTTCTCGGCCCCCTTTCCAGGTGCACGCATGAGGGCGACGGGGCAGTGACAGCGTCGGAGTGCATACAGCACCTTGTGGCGGGTGGTAACCACCAGCACTTCTTCGTTGCCTCACAGGACATTGAACTCAAGAAGCTTCTCAAGAAGTTTCGCTCGTTTTAGACCCGATTTCCAAGCCATGAGGACAGAGGCGTGCGTTTCTTCTCCCATTGCCGTAACCTGCCAGCTGTCCTTCTCCAGCTCGCAGTGTTTTGAGACGTCTCAAAATAATTCTTTTATCGCGTGGCTTTTCCCATTGCTGTATCCCGCCCTCCAGCTGTCCTTCTCCAGCTCGCACTGTAATTCCAAGGCGCCTCGAAGATTGAATTGTTGGGTTTCATTCTTGACTCGCAGTGTTGATTTGCTAATGCATGCAATCATCAGACCTGTTTAGGGTTCAACGACCCTAAACACACTTGTTTAGAGGCGCCTCAAATCTAAATTTAGGGTTCAATGACCCTAAACACACTTGTTTTGAGGCGCCTCAAATCTAGAGTTAGGTTTCATTGACCCTAAACACACTTGGCGCACAGTCTGCACCGCAGCTGCCCATCTTCCCCCACCATCCTCCCGCTTGGCCTTCCCCTTTTAAAAGAAAGAAGTGCGTCTCCTCCCAATTAACCTTCTCAGTTTGTTTTTTTCCAAATAAGCACTTCTCTCCTTCCCACTCCTTTTTCCCTCTTACTCTCCCCCTCCTCCCCCACCACCTCATCCTTCCCTTCTCCCCTCTCCTCCCACCTCCCCCACCAGGTGCCTGCAGTGCCAATCATCTCAGCCAATGGAACGGCCATCTGCCTTTAGCAGCCCTCCCCTCTCGACCTTTCGCTCTCCAAGCCAAATCGGTCCTTTGTTTCTTTTTGTACATGCAAGCACTGCTCTCTTCCCACTCCCCTCCCCCACTCCCCTCCCCCACTCCCCCCTGCTCCCCCGCCTCTCCCCCCTTCACTCCAGGTGCCAGCAGTGCCAATCATCTCAGCCAATGGGACGTCAATCTCCCTCTAGCCGCCCTCCCCTCTTGACCTCTCGCTTGCCAAGAAAGCCCAATCTTCACGCCTCGAGTCTTTCCCTGGTCCCAGCAATCTCTGTCCCCCTCCCATTCCCCCCCACCCCCCTTCAGGTGCCAGCAGTGCCAATCATCGCAGCCAATGGGACGTCAATCTCCCTCGAGCCGCCCTCCCCTCTCGACCTCTCGCTCTCCAAAAAATCCGAATCTTCCCGGCTCGGGCTGCCCGAACACGAGCAGCAGCAGCTGTTGCTGGCGCGGGCAGCCAAGCGAAAGAAAAGAATCGAGGAGACGCAGAAAGGGCTTGTACCGACAGTGGTTGACAGAGGGCTCGCGAGACAGCAAGACAGTGCTGCTGGGAGTGAGAGAGAAGATGCAGCGACAGGAGGAGAGACAGGAGGCGAGGGGGATGGTGTCGCTGGGAGTGAGCGAGAAGGGGGCGGTGGGGCAGAAGGCGCAGGGGCGGAGGAAAGGGGTTTGGGGGCGGGAGAGGTGAATGCGAATGCAGATACGTTTGGGTATGGGTATGATTCAGAGGAGGAGGAGGGGGGAGAGAGGAAGCCCGAGTGGAAGCGGCTGGGATATGTGAAGGACAGGGCCAAGTTCAAGCGGAAACGAGTGAAGGTGAGAGTGCGAGCGAGAGATGAGAGTGCGAGTGTAAGTGGAAGCGAGGTGACTTCTGAATCTACTCAATGGTCCAGCTGGAGTGGAAGCGGCTGCAGTATGTGAAGGGCCGGGTTCAAACAGAAACGGGTGATGGTGAGCGTGTGAGAGGAAATGGGTGAAGGTGACAGTGCGAGTGCAAGACAAAGAGAGTAACTATTTCACTGTCCCTTCCCTGCCCTTTCACTCTCACTGTCCCTTCCCTGCCCTTTCACTTTCACTGTCCCTTCCCTGCCCTTTCACTTTCACTGTCCCTTCCCTGCCCTTTCACTTTCACTGTCCCTTCCCTGCCCTTTCACTTTCACTGTCCCTTCCCTGCCCTTTCACTTTCACTGTCCCTTCCCTGCCCTTTCACTTTCACTGTCCCTTCCCTGCCCTTTCACTTTCACTGTCCCTTCCCTGCCCTTTCACGCTCACTGTCCCTGCCCTTTCACTTCACTGTCCCTTCCCTTTTACTCTCACTTGTCAGAACATAATGCTTGTCTAGTCTGTAATGGGGTACACAATAGTGAGTATAACCCTTTTGGGCTTGCTATTTGTACTCCGCTTCTTTCTAGTTCAACCACCTTTCCTCTTCTACTGCTTGTACTTCTCTTTCGTGTACCCTAAACCTAGCTATGGCTTCTTAGTCTTAGCTACTATTTTGTCATGGAATCAGAGCGGTTACGCTCTTGGCCTGTGGGCCCCACGTGCTTCCGCTGCTTTCCTGTCTGTCGCGCGCCCCGTGGCGCGCGACGCCTTATTTTTCTTCCCGCCGCGCGTTCGGGTCGCGCGGCGGTTCGCTGTTCCGTCGAAGCGCCCCCCCCCACCCCCCCGTCGCCTGCAGCAGACCCGCCCGTCACCCCCGCTGCCCCGTCGTGGCGCCCTGGGGAGCCGCGCGCGACCTCGCAGCCACGTCGCGGCGCCCTGGGGAGCCGCGCGCGACCCCGCAGCCATGTCGCGGCGCCCTGGGGAGCCGCGCGCGACCCCGCAGCCGCGTCGCGGTGCCCTGGGGAGCCGCGCGTGACCCCGCTGCCCCGTCGCGGCGCTTTGGGGAGCCGCGCGCGCGACCCCCGCTGCCCCGTCGAGGCGCCCTGGGAGCCGCGCTCGCCCCCCTCCCGCTGCCTCGTCGTGGCGCCCTGGGGAGCCGCCCGCCGTCCCCCGAATCGCTTACGGATCGCCCCCCCACTCCCCCCCGCTGCTGCCTTTGTTAGGGTTTGGGGGTGGCGCGTGTGGGGGTGGCGCGTATGGGGGTGCTGGTTGTGTGCTCCGTCCCCTGCTCCTCCTCCTCCTTCGTCTCCCACTGCTGCAGCTGCCGCTGAGGGGGGTGGATGTGTGGGAGCCGAGGGTTAGGGTTTAAGTGGGGGTGGCGTGTGAGTGGGGCTAGGGATGCAGCAAAGGGGTGTGTGATAGGGGGGTGTGGGACTGTTAGGGGGGGGAGAGTGGAGGTCGCTGTCGTGTCGTCTGCAGCGCCTGTAGTCCGGAGCCGTCGTGCTCTCGGTAGCCCAGCGAGCCTGCTTCGCCAGTCGCCTGTGGGTCAGTTGCTCCTGTGTGTGCTCGTCGTAGCCGCGGAGCCAGATACTCCCGTAGTCCGGTGCCCTCGTGCGCTCGGTAGCCACTGTGCGCGCCGCTCCTGTTGCCCGTTGTGTCTGCAGCTTCGCCCATCGCCTGCAGCAGATCGCCCCCCACAGTTTCTCCTCCTCCTCACTTGCCCTCTGTGTTAGTCTCTAGCCTTTGCTTATCACTATGATCTACAGCTCTGAATGCTTGTTGTGCTGGCTGTACCCCACCTTGACTATGGGGGTGTGTCAGAACATAATGCTTGTCTAGTCTGTAGTGGGGTACTCAATAGTGAGTATAACCCTTTTGGGCTTGCTATTTGTACTCCACTTCTTTCTAGTTCAACCACCTTTCCTCTTCTACTGCTTGTACTTCTCTTTCGTGTACCCTAAACCTAGCTATGGCTTCTTAGTCTTAGCTACTATTTTGTCATCACTGTCCCTGCATTCGTGCATTCACTTTCTGTGACTCCCATCCCACTCGCACTCATCTGCGAGGTTCCATTCGCCCTGGGAAGCCGTGCATTGGTCTCAAGCTGTTGCCCGTCCCTTCTCACGCTCAGTACAAGGACCCAACCACCCCACTGTCTGGCAAATTGGAGGCTTGTTTTGTGGCGTCGTTTCACAACATGCATCGGTATGTTCTGACCCATACATAGCTTTCACACCACAGGGGTCCAACCCAATCCAACCCACGGCTGTCCAAGCAGAAGGCTCGTTGCAATGAGCAATGTGCATTTGGTTTTGAAGCGTCGAAAAACGCACATGCATTGAATCGTTAACCCTCACACCACAGGGACCCAATCCGCTATGATGCAAGAAGAAGGCCCGCCCAACAACGGAAGCGGCAAGTGAAAGGAAGAGACAAGGGGAGGAGGGAGAAGGGGCACGAAAGCGGCCGAGGAGACGGCGGAAGGGAGGTCAGGAGGGGGAGGGAGGTGTGGTGGATGGTGGCGGCAAGTAGTTAATGGTGAAAGGAGATTTGTGGATTTTGTTGTGTGTTTAACTAGCAAAAACACTTTTCAACGTACGGGTATTTGTCCTCCGGTAATTACGCATTGGGGTGATAGGAGTCAGGAATTAATTGGTTTGCGAAGTTTGGCTCACAATTGGTGCATATAAAGCGTTTGTAAGAAGAAATGGTTTTGAACTTAGCAAATGCGAATGGTCTTATATCGAATAAACTCTACCATCCTCGAGCCGCTCTGGAACATACCCTCTTCGCACCGCACCAATAATCGTAACCTTCTCAGCCTCTCCCCTCAATTTCTGTCAGGTGCTTCATCAGCTCACCGTTGCTCCGTCGTAATGCCGGGATTTGCGCTCTCGCCTCGAGCCATGAAACCCGCCGCCATGGGCTCATCCCGTTCTTCGTTATACGTCGAACACAAGCCCTTTTGTGTCTTAGTTTTCAGCGGGCCGTCGCTCGCTCCTCCCTTGGTTAAACTCGGTTGGTCAGCGGTAATGGCACGATCTGCCACAGAGCCCTGTAGATCGGAACCACAGTATATCGACGCAAGAATCTCAGCATGATAATCGGTTAGCAACACCACGACACGGAATTTTCTCCTGATCTGCTGCTGTGTTACGCGTATCGACGACTATTCTTGGTTGTAGGTTAGCTCGACCATAGCTACCCTGGCCCCTGAGGCTGCCGCCATTTTTGCCTCTCATTTCGTGAAGAGACTCAGAATTCGTCGCAGTTCTGCTGGACGCAGCTTTTCAATCCCATTCGGAGAATGTCACAGACGAGCGCAGCCGGAGTTACCGTGTGGGATGTGTCTCGCACGGTGAAGTACGCAATCGTCGCCAGCGTCGCAGCTGTCGTCGCAGTGATTGCTGTTTTCGTCATCGGATGTTTCGTCAACACCGTACGGTCGAGGAGAAGACGCGCTGAATCCGCAGCCGCGGCAGCAGCA